CAAAAGAAATTTGATTAAAAACTAGGCATTCAATGCACTAGAAAGTGTACGTTTTTCCTTTTGACTTAAAGTACAAATCAAAGTATGAGCACATTATGTTAAACTTTTTGCAACAAGCAACCAAAAATCAACACCACTCAAACACTCGTGTTTCAATCGTTCATTTTTTTAAAACTCAAGATTTTTTCAAAATCAAAATCAATCACTTTTTGGAGACAAAATAGAAAAGTCAATTTTCGATAGAATCCCAAATTTTTTCAAACAAATTCGTTCGCAAATTTGGATTGACACGACAAACAAGTGAAATTTGATGAGTGATTGAGTTGATCAAATGACTCTCGTGACTCAAACGATCGTTTAGAAGAAAAGATTTTCTCTCAAAGGGTTACGGTAGACTTGTCATCTCAAATTACGATTTAGTCGCATTAATTGTCGAATTGGAAATGCGCCCAATGATTTGCAGAAATAAAAAAACAAAAAAAAAGACGAGGCTACGTTCAAGTCGACGATTGGAGAAAGTTGAATTGAGAGGAAAGAAAGATTTTAGTCGAAAGAGGTACTCGATTCTTTTCTGAATTGTCATGCTACCAGGTGTGCTGGGCTACGCACGAATATTCTATCTAAAGGTACTGAGTAGTAGCACAAAGTAGCACAAATCTGATTACAGATTCGGATTCCTTGTCCCCGAAAACCCTGAGTACAAATTTTCAGCTTTCTAGTTAATTTTGTTGTAATTTTACAGTAACGTGATTTGTATTGTCGTGTAAGCGTGACAGACGGACGGACAGACGGACGGACAGACGGACGGACAGACGGACGGACAGACGGACGGACAGACGGACGGACAGACGGACGGGCAGACGGACGGACCGATTACTAGATGATTAAAAATTGCTATCCTAGTGATGTAAAAGATTTCCAATCAAACCCAAGGAACAGCATTATTTCGTTTTAATTTAAAATCATTTATAGAAATCTCATCATTTTCGGAGAAAACAAGCGATCTTTAGAAAGTTTACATGAAAACATTTTAAGCCTTAAAAATTTACTTAATATTTATCGAAATGAGTCAATTTTTATTTAATATTTAACAACAATGCCTCTATGAGAATTCCGTGACAAATTTATTTTATGGAAAAACTTTATTATAATCGAGCACGTGTGGCTGACTGGTTGTGTCCTCATCGGAAGGTCGGGGGTTCGACCCCACATGCGACATGGTCCCCCCTTCGGTTCCCTTTCCCTTCGGGTTGGGGAGGTTTCTGGGGGCAGTCGGTGGTTGTGGCCCCAGTTCTTTAAAGTGACAAGCCCCCCATCGTCATCTCCCCTCCCCCCCAAAAAGCTTGTTCCCCATTGGGCTTAGGGTTGGGGCCGCGTCATGACGTGGGTTGTTAAGATATAGCCTAGTATTGTGTGTGTCGTTGTATTGTGATTGATTTATTTCGTGTATGCGATAAATTCACCACTGGTAGCCCCAGTCGGTATTTTTAAATAATCAATTGCTCAACTCATAGATGAATCACCAGATTCGAAAGGTAAAGAAAATTTTATGTTGTGTTGATGATTCACTGTTTGTTTCAACGACAGTAATCCTTTTCGTTTCAATTAATTTCAAATTTTTCGGGGAATCCCCAAATTGAGGTAGAGACAATAGGGAGAGAAATGCTTCTTTTCGCTTATCATTTGAAAAAAAAGGGGGGAGAGAGGAAATGTGTGATTGTTGAGGTGTGTGCTTCAATCAATCCATCATCTACGGGGGATTCCCCAAAAATTTTGAAAAACTAATAATGAAAAAATAATGAAAAAATAATGAAAATAATGGGATAAAAAGAAAACTTTAGTATTTTGATGAAAATTATTTTACCCATCCAGGAAGATGCCTTGTTTACTCTTTGATATTGTTTATATTATCAAAGAAAAGTTCTCTTGAAGAGTTTCTTTTAGAAAACTATGAATTTTTGAACTAGAAGAAAGTGGAGATTTTGATGGAGTGACTCTTGAAGGTTTTACTATTAGCCTTAATAGATAACGATTAGAATAAACAAGTTAAATATTTGTTGAAAGTTTGTTTAGCTTTTAACAACTCTTTACTAATTATAAGTTTTATCCTTGAAGTTTAACTTTAATAAGGAGATCTGTCTTGATTTCTTGATGAACAAACACAAAAAGAAGTGAAATATTTGTGAAAGTTTGTTTAGTTGTTTAGTTGTGAAACTGCTTTAGGAGTGCCATTCCCCTTCACCTCACGGAGGACATCCGCTGCCGATAGAAGTTCGGTGACGCCTCTTTTTATGATACCCTCTAGGGCCATAGGCGAGAAACAGCTACTTAGTTTCAGCTTTCCGGGTCTCCCTGGGTCTCCGAGTTTTAGAGTCTTTGCTTTGACTGAGCGTTGATTGAGCTGTGTACCGCTCAGCTTTCCGACAATTCCCTTGGTTTTAAAGTACCCGGGTACTTAGGCGTGCCATTGCTCCTTTACCTCACGGAGGACATCCGCTACAGTGGCCCACGGAGGACATTCGCTGCCGATAGAAGTTCGGTGACTCCTGCTTTTTATGAAACCCTCTAGGGCCATAGACGAGAAACTGTGTGTTTAGGGTCACAGACAGTACAAATCACCATTTAAAAACTCTCTAAAACCTCTAAATTTCAGCTTTAAAACTGTCAAAATACAATTTTTATGATTTGTTTTGGCTTTGATGGCAAAAAGCTGTTAAAATATGACTTATTAACAAGCGTTAATGTAATTTCTATAGTGCATATGCAAACTGCGGTTCAGAAATGCTATCAGCCATTTGTTCACTTTGAAAATCAATTGTAGTTTTATCGAATTTTCTCTTTAAATATTAGATAGTGCTTTCACTTGTAAGCGACTAGAAAGAGAGATCGTGTCTCAGTTGTCTCAGTTGTCTTGTCTTATTTTATATGGGTGCGCCCACTTTTTCTGACACTCAATCAACCCAATCAAATGAGCGGAGAAAAAGGGTATTCATTTGAAAGGGGAGATTTCGATGAAATCGACTTCATGCACGTGAATTCGACTTGAGAAAAAAAAAAGAGGGTAGAAGGGGAATTTTCCTCTATCTTTTTTGATGAGACAGGGATTTTCTCTAAGGGTTTTCTCTATTTAATTCGGGAATTCGTTTGACGTCAACGTCAAATTCGATAAAATTGATTTGAGTAAAAGAATCCGCAAAAGATATTGCTTGATCTTTGTGGAAAGCACTGAAATTTCATCAGTTTATAAATAGAAATTTAGAAATATTGATTTAGCATATGGATAGCATTTATCCATATGTATTTATTTAAGTGTGCACTAGAAACGTAGCTTTCCTAGTGCACTGTTTGTTGCTATTATCATCAATTGGGTTTCCCTTTAGCCTCATAATGTGCACTAGAAAATGAGCGTTTTCAATGAAACACAAACATATATGCTATGTTTTTTTGAAACTTTCTAAGAAGTAGTCCAAGATTGCATCATGAAATCTTGCGAAACGCAAGTTTTGATGATTTTTTTGATGATTCATCCATTGTGAGAGATTTTTGTTTGGTGATTTGTTAATCAATTCAATGAATGAACGAACAAATCAATCCCGGATGTCATCGAAATTCCCCGAAATGTTGTTTACTTTGTTAGCGAGCGAGCGAGCAAGTTGCCAATAAAGAGGGAAATTTTCATAAATATTTATGCTCTCTGAAAAGTGCACAAGTCTAGATCGGAAATTAGAGAGTAAAGTATCGGGGGATTTGATTTGAAAGGGGATCGACTGGGTTAGGCATTGTTTATTTTAGAATACAGGGTGACCAAGAATTACCGAAACAACTTTTTGGACAAATCTGGGAAATCTGGGAAATGTCTAATTTATTTCAAATGTGGCAAGTGTTATACAGAGAATTGTAGGCCTAATTCTCGGCAACATTTATCTACCAAAAACATCCCGATTGGACTTATACAACTCATTTAACAAGCGCTTGTTTATTTCAAATGTGGCAAGTGTTATACAGAGAATGAGGTGTCGACTAGCGCTCATTCAAGCGTTTGTTAAATGAGTTGTATAAGTCCAATCGGGATGTTTTTGGTAAGATAAATGTTGCCGAGAATTAGGCCTACAATTCTCTGTATAACACTTGCCACTTTTGAAATAAATTAGGCATTTCCCAGATACTCTTCCAAAAAGTTGTTGCAGTAATTCTTGGTCACCCTGTAGACTATACAGGTTCGTAGAAAAGTGATCGATGGAACACAGAAACAATGGAACAATGATCATTTTCTTCATTGAACGTAAACGCACCCTTTCTAGCGCACTCAACTCCTACCGTAAATACTGTAATAGTACCCCACCCCCATAATGACGGTGCGGAGTGTTGAGTAGTCTAGCTTTGAACGAGTTTTTCTCGACACTGGTTTATGCTACAATGCGCGCTTAGGTATCAAAAAATAGCCCTGAATTTCAGCTATTTTTTCATACCAAAGACGCATTTTTTGAAAGTACGGGCGCTTTGAAAAAAATGGAATGCTAAAAACTTTTGCGACTACGCGACTGTACGAGGGGGGTAGGGTACTATTACAGTATTTACGGTATGCTCCTCTCGCTATAGGCTCTTTTTCCAGAAGAACGAAAAGCTTAACTTAAACGTGTGCATTATTGAAATCGATTAAGTCACAATTTCAACTAAAAAAAAGTACTAATCGAGTGATTAAAATAGAGTATTTCCGCCTAAAATCTCTCCATTTCCGGTCTAGAATGACCGCATTCAAGGACTTTACCCTGCAGAGCCATTTTTTATGGATAAATCCTTTTGTCAGTTTATCCTTTTCCCCGTACGTTTCGATTCGGGAAACGTGGCGGTGATAAAACGATTTCAAAAGAGAAAACAAAAATTTTTAGGCTCAGAGAAGACTTGATTGACAGAAAAATGCTTTTCACATAGAAAATATTAGAAATTTTTTTTTATTTGCTTTAATATTAAGGGTTGATTTTAGATTTGAGCGCCTTTTATGCTGTTGTCGTGCATTTAGGGCCGACCACACTCCACGATTCGATTTTCGAGTCATCAACGTTTCGTTTGATCTAGAATTTTGTGGTAAACAAATGTTTGGCTTACAGAGGACTGCACGAGAGGGTGGCGTTCTATTAGAGTATTTACGGTAGTATATGAATCTGAGTTCAAACGCGAATTAAAAAAATCTAAATTCAATAAAGCTTTTGAAGAAACTGACCATAAAATACCCGGCGATTCCCCAGTTTGGTCCCCACGAGTTGCGGGCAAGCCAGTAATCGACTCCGTTTAGCGTTCCTTAAAGTTTCATTTTTAAAAATTATAAATAATAAACAATAGTCTGATTGTTGAATACCGTAAATCGTCTAATAGAACGCCACCCCCATAATGACGGGCGTACAGTCGCATAGTCTAACTTTGAACGTTCCGTTCTCCGCGCTGCTTTATGCTACAGTGTGCTACAAGATGTCAAATGATAGCCCTTAAAATCTAGTATTTTTTGGTATCAAAAGTGTAGTTGAGAAAAAGTCTAGGGGTTAAGAAAAGAATGATTTTCTAAAAAGAGGTTAGACAGAGGACTGTACAAGAGGGTGGCGTTCTATTAGAGTATTTTCGGTAGTTTTAATTTATTTTTTTTCAAAATAAACATCACTACCGTATCCAACGATCGTCACAGCGTGTCCTCCCTGATAAGTGGAGCTGGTCGTTTGGCAATTTCCCGAGTAGACGCCACCGGTGTAGTAGAAGAAATCCGTGCACACGTAGTAGGCTGAAATGAGGTTTTTTGATAGGCTATAGGTCTATAAGTCTTAAGGTCTATAAGTCTTAAAGTCTATAAGTCTATAATCTAGATAAGCATAGACATAGAATCTCTATCTTCATTCCAGCCCACCAACTGTGACCGGTCCAGTGTTCTTGATGTAGGTGAGCATTTGCGCAGGGCTTCCTGTCAGGACTTGCGTGCCAATCACCGGCTTATCAATGACCTGTAAGAATTGTTTTCAGCTATAGAATATTATGATCATTATCCAATACGAAAAACTCTATGTTAAGAGCTATTTTCTAGTGAAATCTAGTAGCCAAAAGTTCTTCAAGTTTTTTGGTTCTTAAAGTCGAGATCTTAAAGTTACCCTTCCGGTTGGGCAGCTCTTCACAGCGGAAGCATAGGGTCCATACGATGTGTTACGAGCAATTCCATTGTTTTGCACCCATCTGAAAATAAAATCTATTAAAAAGATTGATTGAAAGATTGAAAAAAGTTCTTTGAAGTTATAAACTCTATATACCGTATTTTCTCTAATAGTATTGCACCCAAGCGAGCCGAGTTGATGACTATTTTATGGCTCCAAAGCTTTCCCAGATGCTCAACACCCAAATCCCCGCTAGATCTCATCGTCAGCTACATTTTCCGGCCCCACATCGATAGGTTCTGATAAGCGGTTCTCGAGATTTCGAGGAATTTAGGCGACGCTCAGGGTGCACTACTATTAGAGAAAATACGGTATAAAGTTTTACGTGATAGCGTTGTACGGCCAGCCACCATTGCAACCATTCGTCGTGCTGCAGTCAAGTACGTACTAGAAATAGATTATTCAAATATTTATGCAAAAGTTTTGTAAGCAAGGATTCTCTAGAAGGTTTTACATTTTAAATTCAGCTTAATTTTATTGATTTTTCTTTACCTGCTCCGAGAAAGCTCGTCGATTCGCGTTGTAGCGCTTGTTCACATTATTTGTTTGGATCTCGATGGCGGCAACAGTGCTAGAAAATGAAGATATTATAATATAATTGCTATTATTTGTTAGAATATAGTGTTAACTAATTGAATTGGATTTGGAACTCACGCAAAAGCCCAGCATGATCCGCATCCACCTTGATCTCTGACCGGGTTGACAGCGCCCGAGGTTCTCCAATCGAAGTTGCCAACAGCCTGAAGGTAAAAGGTTTATACCATAATATAAAATAAAGATATTCAGTTAAGAAAGACTTTAGTGGAAAGAGCTGCTTCTACAGTACTCTAAACAACACAAACCTGTCTCTTTCTTCTCGAGCTAGTGTCGGGTTTCCAGTTGTTGGCTGGCTTTGGGAGGAGATTTGGATCAACCACCATCTAGAAGTTATTTAAGGTTATAAATTGGCCAATAAACTTTTTTATCATTAAAGTCTATCATGTTTATCATTATGTTTATGTTTCTTTAAAGCTGTTGTACCGAAAACACTTATAACGCACCGATTTCAGTTCGACGTCTGACCAATCCATGAAACGAGTCTCGCCCATTTCGTAGCTGAAAAGTTTAAATTAAATTTTACAAAATTCATCCAATCTACCTGCAGTTCTTTGTGTTATTTTTGAAGCGACCAAGGCGTTTCAAATGATTCGCATAGTTGCGCTTTCGACTCTTACACTCGGTGGTGCCATTTGTGCAGTTTCGGCGGAATCTACGTGGAAATTTGATATTGCTTGACTGTTGGCTTAACAAAGATATACATTAGGTTACGATTAGACCACTTGGATACGACAATAGTCTTACAATGTTTAGATTTCTTCAAAATGACTCATGTTAACCAAGAGAAGCAATCAAGCCTGCCAAAAAAGCTCACTGAACAAAGCCAAGTCTTAAATTCCTTAACCGTCTAGGGATCTTTAAGTTTTTCTCTATAAATTTTACTTTGATTGGAATTTCTTGAAGTGCTGAAAGTTGTCTTTGTCCAAAATTCCATCATTGTCCGAGTCTAAATCCACCGGGAGACTCATCACAAGTCCAACGGCGATAAAAACAGAAAGAGCAGCCAAAAACGCCACAGCATATTTACCCTGGAAATAGAACAAAGAGATTTTGGAAGCTTTTTTTGGAAAAAAATAGAACAAAACATTTAAAGGAACTTCAACAAATTATTCCTTTACTTTAAAATTCTTGAATAAACTTACAATATAATCATAGCTGTTAATTCCTTTATAAATGATCGGTTTTTGGATTTATGTTTTTGATGATTTGCCTTGGAACTTATGATGATTTACTTTTAAACTGTTGCCAGAAAAACTTCTTTTTAGGGTTTTTGATGTATGAATCAAGAACGCTTGATGAAGAACACTTGATGAAGAACGCTTGATGAAGAACGCTTGATGAAGAACACTTGATGAAGAACACTTGATGAAGAACGATTACGTTTACGTTTCCGATCAAGAAACTTGATCGTAAACGTTAAAGATGATCATTTCTTATTGAAGAAAATCTTTTGACTCATTCTTTGGTTTGAAAAGAGAAAAAAAGATAGGATCAAATACACGGAACGATAAATCCATTTAAGTCAAAGATGATCGAGATCTCTTCGTTTACTATTTTGAGGAACTTAAAGTTAAATTTGAATCAATTATGGAATTGATGAGTTGAGATGAGTTGAGATGAATCGTTAAATCTAAGAGAGAACGAGAGTGTCATTAAATACATCAAACATCTTCAGTTAAGTTAAATTTAAATATGTTTAAAGTATTTACTATTAGCCAAGTGCATAAATCGTTAAACAACTTATAAAACGTTTATAGAAGACAAGATGAAGACGTTTATAGATGACAAGAACTGAGCCTAAGAAAAGTCTATTTTAAGGGCTTCTAGATTCTTCCAGATAGCTACAGAGTACAGTTATCAATTGTTCTCTAACAAGATTCTAAATCTTGGATAGCTTACTGTAATTTAGTTATCCATAATACTCTACTGTTAGCTTTGATGAGATTTTTGAAGGAAAGCTTTAAAATAATACGATAAGGTAGATTGACTATTAGTTTAAAATGTAACAAAGATTGAACAAGATTGCTTTCGAAGTTGAAATGTCTTCATCGTTCATTCATTTATATATTCTATGATCTAATGAGAAAAGACTCTTTGATCTCTTTTGACTTTCGGACTCGCTCGCCCACATCGACTGCCTGTGAAAACATTAACTTTTACAAAAATTGTTTGACAACTTTGCTAATTTTGAAGGAATGGACGGTGCTGTGTGGGCTCTGTAAAACGTGGCTTGATGGAAAAGAACAAATGACTATTTTGGGGAAAAAATTGGGGTCAAAGCTGAACAAGAGTTGAGTGCGAGTGGGGTTGAAGTTTCATTTGGTGAACAGGAGAGGGAGAAAAAAATGAGGATTGCAAGCTCTATTGACCAAAGATTCGTGTAGATTGTTTGAAGTTCTCTGCGAAATTGGCCATTTGCTTACCATATTGCAATTGCTAACTTCAACGTGTCAACTTTCTCGACTACCTTTCATTTATCCACTATAATTTGGCCTGATTTTGTGGGGTTCACGTAAACATCAATGTTCTTAGGTAGAGTGTGTTCCTCGCGAGTAAGTAATTCCTCGAGTAAATTTGCATGAGTAATAGCTCGAGTAATTGGCGAGTAATACGTTTTCGAAAAAGTGCGCCTGCGCGTAAAATCTCAGTCATTTCCAAAAACCCAAATTTAAAAAGGAATGAGTGTAAAATAACAAATAGCGAGCTATAAGTTTAATGAAATTTCGGGGGTGGGACAAATGCTACCTTTTTTTGCTGGAAAAGCCCTTAGGCAAGGCCGTAAAGCTTCGAAAATATTTCCATATAAGGGAATCGTATGCGTAGATTCCGGATTTCGACAAATCAGACCTCGCTGACACGTCAAATTTGGGCAAAAACTGCGGAAAAGCGTTAAGTTGCGTAGTTTTTGCCTTTTAGCCCAAATTTGACGTGTCAGCGAGGTCTGATTTGTCGAAATTCGGAATCTACGCATACGATTCCCTTCTATGGAAACATTTTTGAAGCTCTACAACCTTTCCCAATCGAGCTTTCCTTTTCCAGAAAAAAAAAGGTGCGCAAATGTCCAGGTGCGCAAAAAAAGGTCGCATTTGTCCCACCCCCGGTTTTTCAAAAAAAAAAATCTTTTATTTTTACATTGGAAGGGAATTTGCCACCAAATCAGTTAAACGGCTGAGTATCTTTAAAAAGTGTCGTATATAATGCGGGGCTCGTCATTTTTGCATCAGTTTTTTTTTGCAATAATTATTGCTAAAAGTAGGATAATTTTTTTCCCAAGTGTGCGTTTTAAAAAACGCATTACTCGCGAGGAACATACTCTATTCTTAGGAGCTAAAACCAAAAAAGAACAGAACTGGCTTTTGTGGAGAAGATAAAAAGATATCATTGTTCAAGAGTTGTTCAGGAAACGCATTTGTTGGGAGGAAAAACCTCGGTAGAGAAGCGTAGAGATTGACCGTTTCCTATCTAGAGATTGATCGATAAATGCCTTGGCTACTAGAAATGTGCCATTGGGTCGCCAAATGCATTACAGCTAACGATATAGCATATTTTATTGGAAAAAAAATTAGCTAATTCCGAATATGCAATTAAAAAATCACGAAAAGATTTGTGTTTGTGTGCCTCAAAGAGCTGCTATCTCTTTCCCGAAACCCAGTGTGCAAGAAATTCGAGAAAAGCTTTCAAAAGCCATCAACTTTGAGATCATTTTTAACCGATTTTCACAAACCTTTTCGTGATTTTTGATAGCATATTTGAAATCAGCTAATATTTTTCAATAAAATTCGCTATGTTGCTAGCCCTAACTGTGGTCAATTTCATGCGCTTTCCTAGTCAACATTGACTAGCATGCTGGTGATCGAAAAATGCCTTGGATACTTGAAATGTGCCATCGAGTCGTCAAATGCATTCTAGCATGACGACGACTTTTGCGTTGACTTTTCTACCCTTTTCTTGGTTCTCTTGTTTACCCTTTAGAAAATAAAAGTCGTTTGCCTAAAATGCATTTAAAGGATCCGATGGCACACGAGTAGAGTGTGTTCCTCGCGAGTAAGTAATTACTCGAGTAAAATTTGCATGGGTTATCTTTACTCGATTAACTCGGCGTTTTTGGTCGAGTAACTACGAGTCGATCCTCTTTACACGTCGGATAAATTGAATATCTTTATATTTGAAGGGAATTTGCCACCAAATCAGTTGAACGGTTGAATTTCTTTAAAAGGAAACGTATATAACGCGGCGCTCGTGATTTTCGCGCCAATTTTTTTGCAATAATTTTCGCTAAAAGTACGGTAATTTTTCTTAAGCGTGCGTTTTAAAAAAGGCACTACTGGCACTACTGGCACCACTGGCATTACTGGCACTACTGGCACTACTGGCATTACTGGCATTACTGGCACTACTGGCACTACTGGCACCACTGGCATTACTGGCACTTCTGGCACTACTGGCACTTCTGGCACTACTGGCATTACTGGCACTACTGGCACCACTGGCATTACTGGCACTTCTGGCACTACTGGCACTTCTGGCACTACTGGCATTACTGGCACACACAGAAGGCATTACTCGCGAGGAACACACACTCTGCGCATGACTATTGGATACCTCTCCAGGCACTATCTTGGTTTATTAGCAACAATCTTTTAGTATTACCATATCTGGCTAGTATCATCATATTAAAATTCTTGTTTCAAAAAGTCTTTGAAAACTTTGTTATTGTCTTGCAAAATTTTTCAACTTTCTAAAAACATCCAAATCTCGTTGCAAACGTAGAGCATAAGATTCAAGTGATTCTCTTGGTTTCTGATTTAATTACTCAAGTTTGCTGGCTGATTCTAAACTTTATTGGTGAAAAACAAAATTGCATTTAAATTCGTGTATCCAATGACTCAACACAGACATAAAAGCAGGCATTGATAAGGAAATGCGATGTTTTCGATGCTCCGTTTTAGTTATATTGACATAATGTAAAGGTATTGTTAAGATTTATTCATTTATTTTATTTCAATGTGAATAATTGAATTAAATTTTCTTTAAACTCTTGTCTTGTCTCGTCTCGTTTCTGCAATTTTAATGCCATTTCTGAGCGATTGAATGATCGAGGTAGTGAAGAGGCAAAGAAAGAGTGAATGTTGGTGAAGAGGTAGAGAAAATTCTAAATTTCGGAATTGATTCGATGTTCAACAAAAAAATTCAGTTTGCTTTTTCGCTTGAAACCTCAAAAGCAGAATTCATTAAGATCCCCTCTCCGAAACAGTCATTTTGGTCCTTTCAGCGTTGAATAGCTCTATAGAAACCGGATGTTGAAAATTATTTTGAGATTCTTTCCCAGAATCGATTTTATAATATTAAGCTCATCTTTTTTGACTTTATTTTTTAACGAAAATAGAAGTTTCACTTTTTATATCAAAGAAAAACTGTGTTTTTTATTGTAATGTCATTTTTTTGTCTTCTAGTTACCGTTTTATTCAAATGATTTTGGTTCAAAGGATTCAAAGGACTCAAAGTCAAGTCTTGACTCTCATTGGTATGAATACCGCATATCGTATTCTCTCTAATAGTAGTGCGCACTACTATTTTTTCAAACCCCTCCTGGACCGCAATACTATTAGAGAGTGCACTACTATTAGAGAGAATACGGTAATAAATTTCCCAAACATTCAGATACTGTTAAAAATGCTTTTTAAAACTTTTGAAAAAGGCGCAAAAATGTTTAGCACGGAGGGGACTCGAACCCACGAGAAATATTCGCATAGGTCTGGCGGAGGCCCTCACTACCCATTAGACCACCGGTGTACTAACGAGGAGGAGCGTGGGTGGCCACTTAACCACACACGCCCGTTTCCCGAGTAGATGCTCAAACTTGCAACGCGTTTTTCTCGAAAACTAGGGCTTCTTGGCAAAATCCGAAAGCGCCATCGTGATCAGCGTATTCGACTTGCGTTTGCATCTCATTTTACTGCCAAAATGCCACGGTCACTTCTGAACTTTCCTTTGTTAGCGGGCAGAATTCTTTTTTGTGTTCTTTTTACAAGCTAGTGTTTCCAAAGTAATCTAGAATCTAGAAAACTAGACAAAGATCTTTAAGAATAATTAGAAAGAAGTTAAGATTAGCTCTGCGTCTGGAAAACCTTTATTTCAAATTAATTTCTTGAAAATGAAACTTTCCCTCGAAAACTAGGATCTTTTTTTTGTGTATGTTCTTGGGAAAAGCCTTGTTTTACATCATAATTCTTTTCTTTTCCAAATGAAAATCGACTTTTCAGCTTCAAATTTTCCAAATGATGAATTGGTGAATGTGAATGTGGCTATTGTGGTGTGCACAACTGAGCAAATATCCTTGTTTCGGGAAAATTTCCCCAAAAAGATGTATCAATTCATCGGACCGAAGAGATTCACCGAGAGAGTCTCGAAAAAAACACTAACATTTGTAAGCTTTGAATATTTTGAATTTTGAATATTATTTTGAAAATTTGCAAAAATTGGCTGCAATCTGAATGAGACATTCGTTTTTCTTATATATTGGTGCTGGAGCGGCGGTGGTTTTGTTGCTGTTGGAGGTGAGAAATGGAATGCGCGATGATCATTATCAAATGGTGGCCGAGAGGGGACAAAGTGTGGCCGATCATGCTGGAGAGTTCATCGAGAAGATCAGAAGTTCGTTGTTTATCACATCTTTTTCAACAACAAATCGTAATCTACGAGTCTAATCAGTTATGCGCCGAGCCAGTAAATGTTTCCATTTACTGGCTCAAATGTTTCCATTTACTGGCTCAAATGTTTCCATTTACTGGCTCAAAAGACCTTAAAGCACCCGATTTCTAGCTCTTCTACACGAATTTTACTTTAAAGCTTATGAAATTTCAGTTTCAAGACGATTAGCCGTCTATTTCGAGTTACAAAAAACTGACATTGTTTTGTATTTCAAAATACCTAAGCTATTTGAATCGATTTCCAATAAAATGAATAGCTTCAATCGATTCTGTGATTCCGCAAACCCTTGGATACAAATTTACAACCCAATATCTTTTTCTGTATCAACTACAATGAAAAAGAAAGATCCTGTCGTAAGGGAGGTGTTCGTTGTGTGCGCGCACAATCGATCGCCATCTCCACCAAAACGGCTTTGATACGGGTGCTTCCCTTTTCCAAATCGTAAAGGAGAAGGAGTAGTCATCGACTGGGTCGACTTCGGCACTATGCCCAACCTCCTGTGATCAGTTTTTGCCCCAAATTTGGCTATATTTCCGCTACAAATATACCAAAACTAAAACCAGCCGAGAGACTCAAGTTTGAGACTGAAACCCTTAGTGTGAATCGGTCCCAACTTGGTCCTTTAGTTGTCCTTTAATTGTCCTTTAATTGTCCTTTAATTAACTTAGTCCTAAAGATGGGTCCTTTAATTCCAGAGCCAAGAAAAAGGGGAAAAATACAAATAAAGAAAGAAAGTGAAGAAACTCAGCAAATTAAAAATTCTCAAGAATATTGACACTTTCTGTAGGAAGAATAATGCCCACAATAAGTCGTGAGTTTTTTTTTTGTTTTGTTAAGTTTTGAATTTCAAAATCTGTAAGTTTTTTTTCAGATTCAATCCTCTCGATCGGCACCGATGATATGTTCGGGCCATATGACATGGAACAATATAAATTACCGGACGGATCGTTGACAGGAAATGAGATGTTTGTGTGGTACGCTTTCTATGATCTCAGGTAAAAGTTGATGAATTTCTTATTTAAATGTTATTTAAATGCTTCTAGAGATCCAGAAGGGCCAAGAATACGTCTCTTAGCAAATACTGTGTGCAAAGATCTAAAAAAAGAGGATGTGGTTGTTGAGGTGAATCCAGAGACATCACTGGCGTTGGATTGGATTGAAGTGCTTGGATGTGAGTGGGAAGTAGAAGTTGATTTGTTTAGAAAAACTGATACCGAATTCTAATAGGACCATGGTCTTCTAATTTCAACCCCCAAAATTGGGAGTCAAAAGAGGTAAAGGTCCCCACATGAATCAAAAATTAAAAATAGTTAAAAACGATTTCAAACGATAGCCCTTGCCCCAAAACATGCCAAAAACATGTCTAAAAGTGAAATTATTTTCTTGCCCGGACTCCATAGAAAATCTTTCAAAAGAATCCATGTAGGGGACCACATGAAATTTTTCCAAAAGTTATTTTTTAATTTTTCCAAAACTACGTCTCAATTTTACTGCCGGGGCAAATATTACTATCTGGACCCAAATCTTTCATTCTACTTGAACAGAAGTTTTAAAAAGTCCCGATTTCAAGGGGTCAAGGGGGTGGTCTTCTATTGGAGACTGGTCTTCTATTAGAGACTGGTCTTCTATTAGAATTATTACGGTACATTCATTTACATTCATATTGAGGATGTTTATTTAACGCAAAAAGAGTGGATTGAAAGGTCAAGATTGAATATTTCTAGCTGCTGGTTGTTCTGGTGGTGGGGGTGGACATTGTCGATTACAGGAGACTGATCTCTCGACCGTTGTTTATCGAGGAACAGTGCCTGATGAGGTTTAAGTTTTAAGTTCAAACTTGATATTCATAGTAATAGTTAAAATAATACAGGTGACAGTATTATTGCAATCAATATTTCTTAAGAATAGAAACCGATAAGAGTAATCAACTCAAAAACTTTAACAATTGATTGACTTTAAAGATAAATTAAACAAGAAAAACTGAAAAATAACTTCCTTTTAAAAGGAAAAATACTTTTTTTTAAATCTCTATGAGTGAATGTAGACCTAGTGTCATTTAGGAAATGCATGAAATGACAAATCGTAAGCGGGATTGAGTTTATCGAGCTTTTTGCAGAGATTTCTTAAGCGAATCGATACACGAATGCGATTTTGAGCACATTTTTTGCTTTAAAAAACATTTCAAACACCAAAATCAACTTGATGGTGGTCACTAAAGGTGACCAAATCGAGAAAATGCTGCTTGCGCCAGAGTGCTGAACCATTTGAGCCTTGTGAGCATAAGCATCATCCTGCAAACACCAAATCCTGTTGCTAAAGTGATTTTTGGCTCAAGGAAGATCTTGCTTAAGTATTTCGTTGTTGTTGGAACATTGATCTAACATTGATCTTAAGTTTTCAATAATTCAGCCCCCTATAGAGCCTTTGGAATCGAGTTAGGCTGTGTGAATGCTTGTACAGTGAATGTACTTGAGGGATTTCGATAGATCACCCTCAAAGCTTATCGAATGATATCAAAATTGCGTCAATTCATTGAAAACTTTCTGCTTACGGTAGTTTTCTATTGTAATCGTAATCTAAACTATCGTTTCACTTGCATAATTTTAACATATCCTGTCTAATCACAAATTTCCCCCCAGATAACGGTCATCAGAAAAGGTCAACGGGCAAAGATGAAATTGCACATGATGCCCGATAATTACAAAGATCGCTAATTACTAATTACAAAGATGTTGGAACATTGATCTTAAGTTTTCAATAATTCAGCACCCTATAGAGCCTTTGGAATCGAGTTAGGCTGTGTGAATGCTTGTACAGTGAATGTACTTGAGGGTTTTCGATAGATCACCCTCAAAGCTCATCGAATGGTATCAAAATTGAGTCAATTCATTGAAAACTTTCTGCTTATGGTAGTTTTCTATTGTAATCGTAATCTAAACTATCTTTTCACTTGCATAATTTTAACATATCCTGTCTAATCACAAATTTCCCTCAGATAACGGTCATCAGAAAAGGTCAACGGGCAAAGATGAAATTGCACATGATGCCCGATAATTACAAAGATCAAATCAACTCTTGTATCATTGCTCCATTATTTTGGTTTGTTGAAGAGATTGGTTTTTTTTACTTGATGTCGCGAGGCGACAAATGGATCCGATTAAATACCCGGATGTTGGTCAGATCAAATTTCAGGTACAATGATTGGCCTCGATTATTCATTTTCCTCGAGTGGTGGAAGAGGAACAAAATCAACAAGATTCTCCTTCACGTTCACTCAATTTCGGCTCCGACAAAGAAAATTATCGATTATTATGTGGAACAGGTAGTGAAAAGGCTTTGAATAATGTACTAACACCTCCATTGTTATAAAAGCAAAGAATCGAGTGATCGAGAGTGTCTTTACTCAAGCATCAAATACATCCAATTAGCTTTTAAATGCTTTTACATATTTTACTTCATTTCAGGGTTTGGTTGAGGTTCGGCCATTCCCATTGATGCCTTACACAGCTCAATACGATCCAAACAACCATGTCTACTACTCGGCCGAGCACATGACAACGTTTTTCTGTGCCGTTTGGTCGGACACAAAGTACACGACGATGAATGATGTGGATGAGATTTTCCATGTCAGGTAGAAGAATATTCAATTGGATTTTTTTTATAAATTACTTCAGAAATCGAAGTGAAACTCTTCTCGATGTGGCGAGGCGACAAATGGATCCGATTAAATACCCGGATGTTGGTCAGTTTTGATGATTAAGAAACATTCCCGGTCTTTGCGATTACCATGGGTTACTAGCAAAAGTATAAAGTGGATATATTCAGCATACCGTATTTCTTCGAATAGAAGACCGGGTAAAGAGTATCATCGCGTACTCCTGCGTAGCAGCCCTTTTTAAAATTTCTTTTCTTCATAAAAGCTTTCAATGAAGTGCTATAGGGCTGGAAAATGACTCAAAAATACCACATGAGCTAACAGATTTTTGAGCCATTCTCCAGCTCTATAGCACTTGATTGAAAGCTTTTATGAAGAAAAGAAATTTTAAAAAGGGCTGCTACGCAGGAGTACGCGATCATACTCTTTACCCGGTCTTCTATTCGAAGAAATACGGTATATATTCAGGATATATTCAGGAGCCATCTGGTTAGAGCACAATGGACTCGGGTTTCCCGGTGGAATTGCGCCTGATCCATGGGATTTCGATAAATTTCGAAAAATGGGTTTCGTCAAGCAAGCACATCCATTTGGGCAAGGAAGAGCTGGGAAAGTGGGTCGAACAATTGAGAATTTCGTTTGACTATTGTACAAGAAGAAATGCTTCATTTTAGTACCTCTACCAAACACAGTACGCAAAGTTGCCTTGGATTCATGGAATGAGAATTTTTTACGCGAATAAACGCTCGGAAATGGTTTGTTATGAGAGTTAGAGCTTTTAGGAACTGAAGTCTAAACATCAGAAGTATCAGAATGACTTTCATGACTCAGTATGACTGAATTTAAAGTCTCAAGATGAGTTTCAAAAAATTGCACTTATAGATTCCAAGAGAGCAAGCGATTTATTTGCATATGCGAAACGAGATGACGAACATTGCAACAATGCCACGACTTTACCCAGATTTCAAATTGTTTGAGGTGACAAAAAAAAATTATTGCTGAGAAAAATGACTGTTCAAATTATGTGAAAGTTTTTAGGATGACGCAGCCGCTGAGATGGGTCTCATTTTGGGAGAGATCTTCAGCGACGGAGCGCCGAGCTTTAAATTCAAAGAGACGATGCCTGTTGTGGAGAATTGTATTCATCGGTGAGTGATTTCGTTTCAGAAACGATATAATGTTCTTTATCTTTATGCTTAAAAAATGATTTATGATTTTAATAGGTTGATGCATAAGTCTTTTCGTTTTTTTCATACTTCTGTTAAAAAGTAACAAATTCACCAATTAATCTATAGTTTGCTGTATAAAAAAAGTGTTTTTTTGTTCAATTTGCATCTTTTTAAATGAATTTCGGTTCACTTTCAAGCAAATTCGAGAGTGAAAAACGCCTTTTTCGTAAAAATCTATAAAAAACTCTACGGAAAAATTGGCTGAATGAATTTCTCTGAAATTTTGGCGAAATATCAAACGTTTTTTTTCTCTATCTTTTATCTATTGACACGAAGATAGGTTTTCTTTAGCTAAGGTGTCTAAACCGCATCATCGAGTTAGCCCTTTTTGACTACCCGACTTCATACTCTCAAGAAAATCCAGGCATTCAATATTTTTAAACCCGTTTTAATGTTATTTTGCAGAAAAATAATTGCTTTTTCTAATGAAATCAACCGTAGTTTAATTGGTGCATTTGTTGGCTTGAAACGGCAGACGAAAAGGAACAAAAACACTTATGCATCAACCTAATAAAAGCGTTTAAGCTAAGGTTTATTTGGATAGAAACTTTCTCGTATTGTCAGCAAAAAGAAATGTCAGCATTATTCGAATCTAAGCTTCCTCTTATAAAAGTCAGTAGATTTTGGTGTTTTTATCGAAAAAGAGCATTCTCCAAAAAGCCCCAGAAAGTGCCAAATATAAAGTTTCGTTTATTTTAATTGGAAAAAGATTTAAAGGTTAAAATTTGTGTAAATTGTTTAATTTGATCGGTGTTAAAGATATGTATAAACTTGGAAGTTGGAAGTTGAGTTGTAGCATGCTGTCGATCACTTGTGTCCAGTTCAACCATATAAAAAAACTACCGTAAATACTGTAATAGTACCCCACCCCCCTCGTACAGTCGCGTAGTCGCAAAAGTTTTTTAGTATTTCATTTTTTCAAAGCACTCGTACTTTCAAAAAATGCGTCTTTGGTATCAAAAAATAGCTGAAATTCAGGGCTATTTTTTGATACCTAAGCGCGCATTGTAGCATAAACCAGTGTCGAGAAAAACGCGTTCAAAGCTAGACTACACGAGGCTCCGACCGTCATTATAGGGAAGCGTAGCCGCAAATGTTTTTTAGTATTTAATTTTTTTCAAAGCGCCCGTACTTTCAAAAAATGCGTCCTTAGTATCAAAAAATAGCCCTGAATTTCAGCTATTTTTTGATACCTAAGCGCGCATTGTAGCATAAACCAGTGTCGAGAAAAACTCGTTCAAAGCTAGACTACGCAACACTCCGCACCGTCACTATGGGGGTGGGGTACTATTACAGTATTTACGGTAGGATAATCTACAAGCTTCTTATTAGTTCTTTTAAGTATATTATTACTAAGGTTTTTATTTCAAAAAGTTTAGTTAAATATCTTTCCTCAGTCATTTTAAAATCAAGTTTTAATAAAAAGTTGTACAAGAACTTTTGAATCACCCTGTATCTAGCAGAAAGCTATTCAATTTTAACATGAAAAACTTAATAAAATCATGAAAACCTGTAGCCCATAGATTATCCTAGCTTTTTTTGTATGCTTAGCCCTTTGAGCCGCGCACAAATTGTCGACTAAAATCTGCTAAAATCGATATTTCATTATTCATTAAGTACAAAGTAAATCAGCTAAAAGTTAGCATTTTTCCTTGTCAACAATCAATCTTCTTTTTTTAGGGCACTCGTTGAGATCCCGGGTCAAGATTGTATTAAGCCAACGGGTCCAACATGTTACGCAGCACTGAAAGATCTCGATGATTGGGTGTATGCAAAACCGATTGAAGACAGCAAATATACTGTAGTTTGATATAGATTTGCGATTTCATTCTTGACTTTTTTTTTATATTTACAATCAGGGCTAGAAATATTAAGCATTTATCGATTGTGATTTGTTTGAAATTTTGTTTTTTCTTTGCTTATTCAAAAAAGAAATCAAAGAATCAGTTTTGAAATGATTTTGAAATGATTTTAAGTACCAAACACTTATAGAAATGTGATAATACTGTTGTTTCTTTTAGATTTCTTTAAAGATTTCTCTTCTAAACACGAAAATCTTTATCTTTTTACAAGTTGAAAGCAAATATATTCACTCGTAGACTTGAGGTTAAAACCCGTAAATTCAGAGGACCAAAAAAAGTGATTAATAGTCAATTATAAAAATAGTTAAAAGAAAAAGAAAAAGAAAAACTGAATCTAGAGAAATGCAAAGAAATAAGAGATCTTTCTCTTCTCAACGTCTCATCGGCAGCTCAACACAATGACAAATTTTCTTCAGCGTTCGATCGGTGACACAATGTGACGTGTTTCCGTAACTGCAAAATATTTAATGAATTTAAAGAGTCTCTGTGAAGCAATAGCTCTCACCAACCGATTGTTTCTCTCGATTTCCCCACTTGGCAAGTATTGTCCAGAGCCCATCTTCTTCACTAAAATCCCTTCGATTTGAGCTCGACTGGGTGCATCGGCTTGGATCACGATACGATATCTGAAAATAAAGGCTTTAAAAGTTTCAATTCAAATAGCTCAATCTATTAGGTAAATGCATAAGAAATGCGGATTTCAACATTTTCATAAATTTCCAACGATAGAAATCTGTTATAAACTAAAAAAAAAAGGAAAGAGTTGGGGAATAAACGGATAATGGATAGTAGACCAATGGATAAATGAAGCAAAAGATGTACTGGCAGAACACCTGAAGATCAACGAGTTGGTAGAAACGATTGGCTATACCACAGGTTAGTTTCTTTTTTTTGTTAATTTCTATTAGGTGCATGCATAAGAAGTGCGGATTTCAACATTTTCATAAATTTCCAACGATAGAAACCTAGAAATCGATGAATGTTATATACTATTTGAAAGTTGTAAATGAAAGTTGTAAATCTTCACTACAAAATAGGCTAAAACGTGTTTCAAATTGATCGAAACTATTGAAGAAATTTCAAGGCCGAAATGCGAGTGACCAAAAAAAGGGCACTTTTTGAAAACCCCACTTTCACAAGAGTTCGGTTTTGACTATATAGTGGAAAATGCCTTAAAATATCAATAAAAGCGCCCTAAAATATCATTCAAAATAATTAAGAGTTGGGAACATTTCATGGGAAAACTTTATTTTTACAATAATTTTCCTTTTTTTGTGAAAAAGACGGGTTTTTTGACAATTTTTGAGGGTTTTAAACTTACGCTCTATCTAAATTTCCTAATAAATCCTAATAAACCTAATAAATCAATCACCAAAGTCTTACTGTATCTCGATTCCATCCTTTGGCAACTCATTTCCCGTTTGTGGATCGTCGATCACTTTCGATGGCGGTAAACGAACCGATGCGAAAGAGATCGAGTCGAGTTGCAGACGTTGGCAAGTGTACTTTTTAAACTAAAAAAACCCGGACTGTATTTACTAAACAACAAATGAATCAACCGTTCAAAACCAAAATAAGTTGCAGAGATTTATTCGAAAGTCTCACCTCTCTACCCGATTTTCTCTCCTCGTCCCATCGAAGCTCCTCTTCTCGATCGAATTTCACGAACAAACCGTTGAGATACTTTATGAAAGCCTAAAAATTATGATACTTTATTTTGGAATCAAAATTATGACTCATTTTGAAAGTTTATTTTCAACGAACCTCAGCTGGTTTCTCGGCTTCTTTCGGTGGGATCTCCATTTCAGTGAAACAAGGGCAATAATCCTCGGGCACTTTTGCCTCATAACATGTTCTTTTCAACGGAACGGGATGCCAGAGTGGGAAAGTTCGTTGGCCAGGTTGATAAGGCTCCTTTTTCATATAAGTTCCCTGAATTTTGTTTATTAGATTCAATTAGTTGATAGCTTTTACTTCAATGATGTACAGGGTGCGTCATAATTATTGCAACAAGAGTTCAAAGACCGTTTTCCAAACAGCTTTCTTATTTTTTTGCCCCCTTTTTTGTTATGTTGTGTTCTATCTTCTTTATTCTTGCCTAATTGCCTCCCGCTCACACGAAGAAGACGGTTCAGGACTGGTGTGTGGCCAACTTTCCCTCAGTGATCACCAAGGATGAATGGCCTCCAAACTCACCGGATCTCAATGTGATGGACTTTTCCATTTGGGCAATCTTAGAGGCTAATTTCTGCTTTTTGACCTTGAAGAAGTCTTTGACCAAAGGATGGAAGGCGACTCCTCAAGATGACATTCGGGCCGCAGTGGAGGCATATCCGAACCGATTAATGGCTGTTATCAAGGCAAAAGGCGGTCATATCGAATGATCTCTTGTTTCCTTATTTGTTACTGTTAAATAAAGCTATTTCTGTTTAAAAATCTTCTTCCAGTGAAACTTCTTGGTGTGCAATGCCTTGAGTATCTTGTTGCAATAATTATGACGCACCCTGTATATTGTTCAAATGATTCTCCAAATCCTCACCTCAACAACTTTCATCAAAGTGTCATACAAGTCGAATTGCGTAGTCATTCGTTGACTGTTCACCGCAAGACTTTTCGCGATATTTGGATACTTTTGCTTGATAGAGAGCGGAATACGAAATGAGAGAAAGGGAAGGCGAGCCTCCAATCGACCGACAACCTGAACCTGTCTTAATCCATTGCTTGTACTTTGAACTTCAATCAAAACCCACTCCTTCTAGCATACTTGACTTTTTAGAAAGATTTAAGCATAAAGTAAACAACTCAAGCTTTTATGGCACTTACTAGATCTGAAAATTTTGAGTGTGAACGTCAATAGGCGGAAAAATCGCATATCTCAGTCAATTTCACTCAGATCTTTTTGATTTTGATATCAATTGACACAGGATTTCATTTTCTAATGATTGAAATCAAAGTCAAAAGAATTGGAGTGAAATTGGGCAAGTTATGGCATTTTTCCGTTGAACACCCATTGGTGTTTAAACCGAAAATTCCCTAGTACTTACCGTCTCTCGAATCTTGTCATATCGATGTCCGTGATCACTGAAGACAGCGATGATCGAGTCTTGCATCACTTCCGAGTTCTTCTCCAGAAATCTCGCAAAGCTGTGATCGGTTCTTCCTAGAAGTTGTTAGTACCTAACTATTTTTGAGCTCCTTTCACTCACCAATTGCATTGAGATAGTCATGGCTCATATCTTGATCCCACCAGAAGACGAATTGTCTTTTCCCGGCGTACTCATTTACGAATCTAAAAGAAATAAGAAGTTAAAATAGAAGTCAAAATAATTTATAGATATTTTTTATCTCAATATTTCAATTCACCTATCCAAGTAGGCTAGTTGTATCTCGTGTTTTCCAGCCGAATCATAGCAATAAGGTTTCGATCGGAGAGCGATAATCGACCAAAAAGCGGCCAACCAATAGGTTCTAAAACCGGTTTAATACTAAAAGGAAAAAAAATTGTATTTGATATACGATTTTTAGGCTTATAGCTTAACAAGCCTTGTATTAGAAGAAAAAGTTCAAAGGGACAATGGATAAACAATGGATGAACAATGATTGGACAATGGATAAACAATGGATAAACAATGAATGGACAATGGATAAACAATGGATAAACAATCGATAAACAATGGATAAACAAGGGATAAACAATGGATAAACAATGAATGGACGATGGATAAACAATGGATAAACAATGGAGAAACAAGGGATAAACAATGGATAAACAATGGATAAACAATGAATGGACAATGGAACGTCCAAATGGTTGCTAACTGACCTAAAATAGTGATCAGTTGGCGGTTTCTGAAAGCCGAAAAGTTTCCCGAAATAGTTTAACGTGGCGATATCCGGACGATCTTCAGCAAAGAGTGTTGCATAGCCTAAAAAGGGGTAAAATGAAAGATTGTAATGAGTTTTAGAGTGTACTTTTTAGAGTGTACTTTTTATGACTTTTTAACTTTTAAAATCTAACCCTGATCCGAGAAATTCTTCCAAATAATCGGAAAATCGTCGAACCAGATGTTCCACTCGTCGATCAACTCGTTCGTGAACTCCTGAAAATATTAATGACGATACTTGTTTAATATTAATATTAATTGTTATCAGAAATCCATTTCTACAAAAAAAAACACAATATTCAGAGTTCCTTTTTATATTTCTCTTAGCTGTGCAACTTTAGCTGAAACTCGTTTATCCATATTCTCTCTTTATGTTCCCCAATTGAAATCACACACTAAACTCTATATTTTCTCCAATATTTCGGACTTAGACTAAGGAAGGCGACCCTTCGAACTGTCCGATCTCTTAAATTGAAACTTTATTCATTCAGAGCTCTACCCCGTCCCCTAGCATGTTCCCCCTTTCTATCAACGTATTTCTTCATTCTATTTGAATCACTAAAGATTGTCATTACTAATGTAGATAAACAAGTAACATAGTCTTGCGGAATGCAAGACAGTTGTGGAATTCCTGAGGCTTCCCTCTGACTTCGGAGGTGTTGAGGCCGAGTGTCGGTTGGGAAATGGCAGGGAAAGTCCACTTATGTCTTTCAAATACATGTAAACACACAAATCATTTCGAGAACCACATCCAAATTCATCCTATCGCTACACACGTGGAAACTTATCTACTATATATAAAGCAGAAGAGACGTCTGTCCGTCTATTGGCAAAAAGGGGCACGGCTTAGATTGCGATATTGTTTTGTTTTGTTAATTCCGCTGATATTGTTAATAATTTAATATTAATGCAAATGTTAATTGCTAATAATTGAATTCTAAAAGTTTCCACCTTGGTTGCTGTTCCTCTTTTCCCAGTCAAAATAGCCATCCAATTGTTGTAGGTGTTGTCAGCGACCTTCACATGACTTTTCATGTCTTGGAAACTAAAACAAAGGACATTGATTTTCAATCAAACTTTCTCATAGTGCAAAATAGGAAATGGATAACGGTACCCCATATTCTGCATGACTCGATACGTTCTCGGCATTTGTCGAATGAAATTCCCGTATGACATCGAGTCTAAACCGATCATCACCACAGACGGATGTTCTGGGGTTGCGTCGAGGATCTTTCTAAAATAAAGCTAACTAATTCCATTTCATCTCCATTTTTATTGTTTAATCAAACTCACTTTCCGTGTATATTTTCCGTTTTCGCTTTGAGATTGTGGTAGTGATATTTGTAGATGTTTCGAGCCATTAACCCAGTCGAATCACAGTTAACCTGAAGTTGCAAGGAATTTTGAAATTTCCCGGTTTTCCTCAAGGTTAAATGAGCAAGATTAGAGGGAAATAGATTAGTTAAAGACTTGTCTAGAATGTTCAAGAAGTTATTTGTTATTTGGTTATTTGAAGAAGAAGTTATTTGGCATGTGAGATTACTCAAAATTATGTTCATTTACCTCAATGAACTCGGCTGCCACCTCGTATTCGACCGCTTTCTCGACATCCACCTAAAGACGATAGAACATCACAATCACAAAGTAATCAATTTTCTGTAACTCTCAAGTTCTGTAAGTTTCTAATCTCTAACTACCTCAATTCTTGTTCCATATTCGTGTTTCGAATCGGATTCTCCTTTAAAGATCGGCGTGATCCAACACTTCAACCCAGTGGCTAGGGATTTGTCAAACTAAAACTCTTAACTTGTTCAGAAATTGGAACAACATTTCAGTCTTAACACTCTCCAACTAAAAACTAACCCAAACTTTTCCATTCCTAAACTTCGTAATCTGTTTCTGAACTTCTGGGCACTCAAGCGGTTCCTGTTTTGCGTAGTATTTTAGAATCGATGGATCCCACGGATCCGTTTGAGGCACTTCACAAACAGTCGGATCTTTGGCTTTTGATTGTAATTGCTAAAAAGTTATGTTTATTTTTTTGATCGCTAGGTGTACCTGTAGATGTAAAAATTCTAGTGACAATGGTGGTGTGCTGAAGTAGTTGTAGAAGGTGACGAAAAGAAAATAAGTGACAGCGAAGGCGAGAGCAATTCTCGCAAAGAATCTAGCCGAGATCAGATGTGCGTATCGAGGCCATTTTGCTTGCAACAGCCGGAAAACCATTAATGTTTTGCCTGGAAATTGTCGTGTAAGTATAGTTAGTTTACTTGAATCGTTTGGATCAACGTATAAGTATCATACAGTACTGGACAATGAAATATGATATTTGAAAAAAGATCGTCACTTTCCCGCGTCTGTAACTCCCTTGTCTTTGAGTTTAAACTATTAGTGTTCTACATTTTCTGAAAGCTCTTTTCAAGGGCTACACAATGGTAATATTAATATTTAGAAAGACGGTAAAGACAAGAGAGTTACAGACGCGCGAAAGTGACGATCTTTTTTCAAATATCATATTTCATTGTCCAGTAGTGCAATTTTGGAGCAGGTTCCATCATCTAGCGGCTTCAAATCTTTATAATCAATATAAAGATTTGAAAAAGCCCACTTTGAACTTTATACAACAGAAAGAAAGCCCAAAAAATTTCAATTAACTAAAGTTAAAGCAGCTAAAACAGACAGGGAAGTCCAAGTGCACTAAGTAACTGTCAATTTACCAGTAGAGAGCTGAAAACGGGTGTGTTACAGACGCGCGAAAGTGACGATCTTTTTTCAAATATCATATTTCATTGTCCAGTATCATAGCTGTCATAGAGCTTAGTAGCAAAAACATGAAGAATATTGTTTTATAGGCTTTTAGTTTGTTGATGAAAACTTTACGAACAACAAGCTCATTGGTTTTCCCATTTCTTTTGTCGTTTTTGTTTTGTGTTGTTGAGATAAAGAAAAGACCGGGATATATAAAAGCATAAAAGCATCATTTTCTTAGCAAGTTTGGATCGTTAAAACAAAAAAAAAAGATACCTGTAATTAATAACATGATCTACAGCTTTTGTGTAAAAGAAATAAAGTCCTAGAGGGGAAATTTTGTACAAATGGCTTGTGAAAGACGAAATAATATTAAACGAGATGAGTGCAGTCAAGAAAATCAAGGCACAAATTCTGGTACAAGTACAGATTTTTCATATATTTATGCAAAAAAAAGGCACGTGGGTTTTCATAGGGTAACGAGCCTTGTATTAGAAGAAAAAGTTCAAAGAGACAATGGATAAACAATGGATAAACAATGAATGGACAATGAATGGACAATGGAACGTCCAAATGGTTGCTAAGTGAGGAAAGGAGATCGTTTTGTGGTGAAATGTAAAATTTTGGAAGAAGAAAATGAGAGTTTGGAAGACAAAAGATGAATTGTGGTGGAGAACAGTTATCACTGAACTCTTTTTTTTTGGGGGGAAAATGCATGGGCTTTGTGAGCTCTTTTTTTGCGGAAGATTCTATATTAACACGATGATCATTGGAACAGGAAAATTGCAAGAAAACAAATTTTACAAGGAGCATGGGTAATGAAAAGCAACAAAACAAACGCATCTTGTGCTACGTTCAAAGGACAGATTGATCTAGCCTCCAGCTTATCAAATTCAAATTAACTTTGAATGAACTTTTTTTATTTAAAAGCCAAAATTTTAAGCGATCTAACAATACCTATCAATTATTGTTTTCTTTTGAAAAAGTCAATCAAAAACCTTAACGATTAAGGAGATAGCGAGAAATTTTCTCGTTAAATCTCGATAAGGTTTTTGATCCACTTTTTCAAAAGAAAAATATAAGTGATTGGTATTATTGGATAGCTTAAAATCTTGGCTTTTAAATAAAAAAAAAAAGTTAATTTGAATCCGATGCCCTGGAGGCTAGATCAAGCACTTGGAGTTGTGCGACCCGATTTTTTGATTTGTCTCGTTAAGCAAGTCTACTTCTAGCACACTCGCTCGTTTCCATGCCTTGGGGATAAAATTAAGATTTGAGCAATTCACAAAAAATCAATTCAATAAATTGCTAAAGCATAAGATCAACAGGGTCAAAGAGTCGATATCTTTAAGAAGAAAATGGGCAAGAGAGGGGAAGAGGGGAAGAAGGGAAGAAGGGAAGAAGGGTGGTCCGAAATGGGGAGCGGTGAGCAAATATTGTCTCTCTCACCTCATTCCTCTTCTTACCCTTTCATATTCATTCAATACAATGATCGATTAGATGAAAGTGAAGCTTTAGATTGAAAACGAATTCATGAAGACTTCATGAAGACTTTTCATGAAGACTTTGTGAGAGCCTAAACTGGCGGTTTTGTAATATAGGAAGTCTAGGGAAAGATCGATTCCCGTTCCACTCATCGACCCATTGCAGAAAAAGGGAGTAACACCAGAAAAAAAGATAAGGCGATAAGAAAAGAAACGAGAGAATTTCTCAATTCAATGGATTCATTATGATTTAATGTTTGAACTCTGGAAATTTAGACATAAAATTAATTTGCAGAGTTCTTTAGGGTTTAAGGTTTCACGTTTTTTTTTCAATATTCCTTTTGATGCATAAGATTTATTGCACAAATAATGTAATATTGTTGTTGTTTTTTTTCTGTAATTTTCTCTTTTAAAAGTCGTTCGGTCAATTTCTATAGAAACACCCGTTGATTGACGTCTTTCTGAAAAAGAAATGAAGATTTTTCTGAAGAAAGGGTAAAGAGCAAGGTTCAAAATGAGATTGCTTTGTTAAAAATTGAGTTCGAGCCTAGACAAATGACTTAAAAATGAACATTTTGCATGCATCTTTAAAGATTTTCAAAAAGTTTTCTACTTTCGAAAATCTTTAAAAAGCTTTAAGCTTTAAAAATCGCAAGCAGAGAGATGGAGTTTAAATTTCAAAAATTCCAGGCAAATTTTTGACTAAATATCTTGAACTATTTGATTTTTATTTGAAAGAAACGTTAATTTTATCAAATTTTAATTTGATTTATCAGATCAGAAATTTATAATTCAGCTTTTCATTTTGTCTCATCGAGGAGGCGCGATTCAGTTTGGTAAACAAAGGCTCAAATCCAAAAGTGGACCAATTCACGATTTTCTCTAGTGTTCCAATAAAGCTCTTAAAAAAGATAGATAATTGTTTCTTTATTATAATTTTCTCAAAAACTTACAATAATTTTAAAACAAGGATCGATTCGTGAGCTCTTTCCACACATCGTTCACCATGGGAAGCCACGAGCGGAGTTCTGAATGGAATTGCTTAAACTTATTGTCCAGAATAGGCTATTGTCCTTATTGTCCAGATTACAAAAATGACTACTCGATTTTCAGTTTATCTGTGCTTTGGCTTAGTTAATTGAAATATTTGGCACTGAATTGACCGGCAAAACTAGCTTTCACTATAACGAACGAATAGAAGTGCTAATCTTTCGACGTTCAATGAGTGCAATGTGGAAACTCAAGATTTTCTTTCTGTATTACTTGAGATAACAGCTTGGTTAAAGCTTGGTGCAAGTTCGGGTGAGGTGAGTGAGCTGGCCTTGTTGAAATGAGTTGGTTTCCGGTGAAGTCGGCAATCTCTTTGTGAGACGCATTGTCCTCGATTGTCCCTCACTAAACCCATTCGGCAGACGCAACCTTTCATGCATTGAGTCTAAAATTAAGTTCATGATTTGGGTAATGCCTTTGTTCAATCGTTTTACCCGATCACAGAGTGGCGCCTGATTGTTGCACGTTGATTCGCAATCTTTACACGCCCAAACTTCTTTGCTAGAGCATGAGCCGGTTACCAAAACTGGAAAGAGGTCACTGAAAATTGTTGTGATCAAAACCTTTTATCTCCTGTCTTCTCGCGGGTCGGTAGGCTCTTTTTGGTGGCAGTGGCTCGGCGGGGTGTTCAACTTCTTCGACAGGAGGCTGAATGGGAATGAGTACAAGTGAAGAATTGTTCGGGCAGATCAAAGGCCTAATACTTTTTGGCTTTTGTACCGATGCACTGATAAGGTTTAATGTGTTCGAATTGAAAACTTGCAATCATTTTCTAACTCACCTCGTTTGCCGGTAGAATCACCTCAACACACTCGGGATGTTCATGCAATTTATTCTGCAGTGTCCAATACTCGCATAACTCCAATGCCAAGGAGGTCTCAAACAAAAGAGTCTAAATGATATAAGAAACTCGTTAAATTTTCATAAAACTTACAAGTATCCATATTTTCGCATTCATTTGGCATAAAATGAGGGAGAATTTGCAAAAAGCGTCTATAAAAAGCTCTGTGTTAGTCAAGACCGTGATCTATTGTGAATAGAAATTGGAAATTGGACCGGTCACTCAACGCTGGGGACTAATCGAGACTAACTAGGGATTGGAAAAAGAAAAAAAAAAGAAGAAAAGGAGGCGGGAAATCAAAACAAAAGTCAAGAGATTAAAAGGAAAAGAGAATGGGATCTGGATGAGATTTGTGAAGAAGCTGGGGAGGAGTTTGGGAAACGAGGATGGCTATAGCTGCTACCTATGATTAGAGCTCCAATTAGAGTTGAGTTTTAATCTCTATAGCAGATTGTTGTAAGGTGAATAAGTTAAAATCGGAAAGCCTAGTTAGTTGTAAGCTACTTTTGTTTAGGTGAGTTTTATCTGTTCTTATTTCGAATCCTAGAAAAGTTTCGGTCTTTAGGATTCTACTGAATTGTGCAGAACTCGAAAACAAATCAAAATCAAGACTCAAATAGGACGCGTACAATCTCAGAAAAGGATGTGTGAAACGGTAGCCGGAAAAACACGATTCGTTGACAAAGAGGTGTGAGGGGGAAAGTCGCACTGAAGAACCCACTGTCTGTGTGTGAAAGTGAAGTCCAAAAGTGTTTGGAAGTTCCCGATTTCACTCTCATCACCGTCCATTTTTAGAAGAATCCTTTAAAATGAGGATCTTGAATGGTCGAATGGTGTGAAAAATGAACTTTTCGAAGATCTAGAACAAACTCCGATAAAAATTAGCAGTAAAATTGGCAAAAATGGTCGAGAATCCAAAATCCAAATTAGCCCTTTAATAAGAAGGAAAAGATACTCAGTGCTCGACTTGAATATCCTTGTATGTCTCCTCGCTTTATTATTTAACAAGTTGCCTGAGTGCCTTTAGAATTGGCATCACTCCCAAAAATTTCGACATGTTTCTGCATTCCGCAATCTTTTTCGTCGTGCTCGGAGAATTTCCGCAATACTTTGTTTCCCTGGGGTCGGCTAATTTCCGCAATTTTTTTGCGCAACTCGCCATAACTTTCTTCTAAGTGATCTTTATGATTTTGGTTTCATTTTGTAGATCTCAATAAGTGCAACAAAATGAAACCAAACTCATAAAGATTGGCCCACTTAGAAGAAAGTTATGGCGAGTGGCGCAAACGACCCAGTTGCGCAAATGACCAAAATGCGCAAAAAAAAATTGCGAAAATTAGCCTACCCCGTTTCCCTCAAACTCACAAAATTAGTGTTTTTGAATTCGTCGAACTTTTAGTGAGCTAGTGTTTTGTTTGAGTGTTTTTTCTTGTTTCAAATGATTTAGTTGCGCAATAGTAATCGTTTTATTTTAGGGGCTTTCGATGGGTCAAATGGAAAGTACGCAGCGAAATGGGAGTGACGAGAATGATGAGTACAATGCTGAAGAAGTCACTGGGATTTTTGTGTCTGCAGAACCGACAGAAAGGCCACAAGGCGAGAAAATTGATTGTTTCATGTAAGACAGCTTTGTAATCTGGTCCATTTTCAAATTAACTTTAGCCTTTCAAAGTTCATGTCCGCTCGAGAGCTTCGCGAAAGTGGTTTATTGAGAGTTGGAGATATGATCGTCTTCAATCGGGGCATCTATTCGGTAAGATTTTTCTGAGCCTTGTAATATCCTTGACTTTAAATCGTAACCATTTGTGATCATAGCACTATGGGGTTTACGTTGGCAAGCTAAACGGAGAAGCGATGGTGATTCATTTCGCCGGTGACCCAGAAGATCTCGCCTCGCTGCAAAACACAGAAGTTGGTTTTAGAGGGGTTCCTCATTTTCATTTATTAGTAAAAGGATATCTTGTGATTTCTGTCACTAAAATATTGTAAACATTCTAATACACTGCTCCACATAATTATAGCCGCACCCCTGAATTTTATAGAAACACGATTTCTGAAAAGTTTTGACGAAAGTTGTAAAAGAGAAAAGATGTCATTTTTGAGTACTAAAATGTCTATTAATACCAAATTTGAATAGAAATTAGCACAATTTTTTTGCAATTTTTTCAAAAAAACCACTTTATCCACAAAATTATAGCCGCAGTACCAAAAATGCTTTATTAACAACAACAAAAACAATAATTGAGCGACAATTTCTAATTCAATAATCAGTAGCTCCATGCCGCTGAATTAGTTGTAAAAATTCGATTATCCAAGCTGTGGTAGAGGTTATCAATCAGCTTTTGATCGAGCTGGTTGGAAGATACCAGGTCGACCTGTATTTTGAAATTTTTTTTTGCCAAAAGTCTGATTGTAAGCTGCTATTATCTTGTGTAATTCTTCTTTTTTGATCATAAAAATTGTTTGGAACAATAATCTATCGCGCCAGAGACGTTGTCGAAGTCTCACCTTTGTGATGGGAAACCGATTTGGACGCCTTCTGACCGAAGTTTAGTCCACTCAAACAAATAAATTTTCGTCAAGGGTTTCTAATTGAAAGTTGTAGAAAAGAGTTCAAGGATCATTTTGTTACCTCATGTGAGCTAATCCGAACATTTTTGACCGAGCCAAAGCATTTTAAATTTCAGGAGACGAAAATTTTGCCTTTTCCTGTGTTAAAAGGGTCACTTTATGGGTATGCTGGCTTCACGCGCTTGTAGCTCGGTCAAAAATGTTCGGATTAGCCGACATGAGGTAGTGGCATCTAACGTTATTTAATGCATAAAAGTACAACTAAGCTTTTTGTACATATTAATATGGTTTAGATTGCACTTGAAACACTGGAATCAGTCTCAAAAGGAAAGCCCTGTCGTATTCATAATTGTTGGGACGATAAAAATAATCGCTATTCAGCAAAGGAGATTGTAAAACGTGCAAAGAGTAAGGTTTGTTTTTTTTTGCAGTAGTTTTACTTTTATTTTTTTTTTGGAAAACCTCAAGTTTGTTTTGTTCTAGTAATCTTTTAAAAAGTATTGTTTAGCTTGGTCCTGCTGCTTACCACCTTCTCGACTATAACTGCGAACATTTTGCGATGTGGTGTCGCTATGGAATCGAACACTCGGCTCAAGTTCACAACGTCTTAACAGTAATCGGTAGCGTTTTACCAGTAAGTTAATGTTTTATTAAAACTAGTTAGCTCTTTACTTTAGCATGCTCGCACAAACATCACTGCTTTGGGAAACGTTATCTTTGGAAGGAGGAATGCCTGAAGTCAATCTCTTTTTGTTCACGATTTACGGGTATTTGTTTAGTGCTCGTCGCCAGAGACTTGGTTTGTTGTCTTTTGTTTATGCATTATAAAAATAAAACTTAAAGTTTTGCCAGACTTGCATAATCACAAGAGATAAGTTTGAAGAATTTTCGAGTGTGATGTTTGAATCAGTGAAATGCTTTTGTAATTTTAAAATGAAGATCTTCATCTTGTAAAGTATTACATATTTGGTCGAAATTCTGTTATCGCAAGCAAAAAAGAAATTTCATTAAACTTATAGCTCGCTATTTGTTTGCCGTTACACTCATTCCTTTTTAAATTTGGGTTTTTGAAAATGACTGTCTGTGAGTAAAAAATTTATCTATCACGACTAAAAAATCATAGATAAGACAAACACTATGGCGTTAGAATGGATGAAAAAAAGTTGGGGCTAAAAATGAGTGAATTATGGACCCGCATGAGTAAACACCAAAAGCAAACGGGATAATGCATAGAAAAAAAAGGCAAATCTTGATTTATGCTAAGTGACTAATATAAGTTACAACTTTTAGTTATAAGTTTATTATTTAGTCCTTATTTGTGAAATCGATGCTCGATTGACGAATTCTCTCAAAAATCTCATCTGTAGTGCCTATGTTTTGTACCTGAACAAAAAATTAATTAGTATTTGATGAAAAAAAAGCTAAAAAATATTCGAATTAAATAAATGGTACCGTGTATGGAGCAGGTCGACCAAAGATCGACAAGTGATATGTGAAGAACTCAAGCAAGTACATCATATCTGGGGTGATGTAGTGGAATGTAACAACCAAATTTGAACAGCAAGCAGCTTTCTAAAGGAAAGAAACTTTTTGAGATTAAGCCAAAAGTTAACTTATTTGACCGAGTTGGGAATAGTACCAAAGTTTTGAGGCTCTATGTAAAAACTCACATGATGATACTCGTAGGGCAAATACTTCTCGAGCCAACTCGGCAAATGATCGATGAAATGTGACACAGCAGAGAGGGGCAAAAAGCGAAGTTTCCCCTGTAACGCGCGCTCTATTTCTGAGAAAAAAAACAACAAATTATCGTATATCCCCTAATAGTAGTGCGCACTACTATTTTTTCAACCGCCCCTGGGCCGCACTACTATTAGAAAAAAATTGGCATCTTTTTAAAAAAGTATTATTTGGTTCTACTTGTCATACTAATGACTTTTTCCAAGAATTAGGTATATAGGAGCATGAATGGTTATTTCCACTAGCAAAATGTTGATTTTTGGACGAGATCAATTACTATTAACGCATTTTATCGAACGGGTCTCCGCTGATATTTTGCATTTGACTTCAAAAGGTCAATGAACTTTGTCCTAGTTTAAGAGCTAGCCATCGATATCCTAATTGTTGAACTTTACAACAAATTTTGGTTCGGACCAACGCAATTTAGTCAGGCAAGCAGTCAAATAGCAAAAAAACTACTTATGGATGTAATACCAACTGTCAAATCCCTCGTGTCGGTGACGTTGACTCCAATCGAATTCAAACATTTCCCCAAATGAAAGTCTTCGGGTCCACCCGCCCCTTGTGGACATTCTTTCTTCGGAAGCGCTTCCGTCACAAACAATTCCAATGCTTTTCTAAAAAAACAATATCATAGTCATTCCAATACAAATCAAATGCCTCGAATTCTACCCCGATCTTTTGTTTGAGCTTTTTAACTTAAACGTTCTCAATACAGTTCACCTACGTCATAAGAGTTCAATATCATTATTAAATCATTGATCTAAAACCAAAAGCGAAAACGAGTCGAACTCTTTTTTGAGAACTTTTAAAATAACTTTTCTTTAGAAATGGAAAAGGTCTTTGACGTACGCAAACTTTGCACAAATCTCAGGGGAGTGAAACTAGGAGAATATGTACTAAAAATGGAAATGAAAAAAAAGCAAAAATTAACCTTGAGAGCACGTAGCCAGCGCCGCCACTGTTGTAGAAGTATTTGTGCAATCTGAACAAGGAAATTTTGACATCATTTTTTAAATATTTAAACAGACTAATCCCTGTTTCTTTTAATTCGCAATCTCCATCTTTCAATGTTTAAATAAATTTCATTTTATTTTTTGTACAAAATTAACACTTTGCTATAAGCAAAGTGAGTACCTTTCACTCAAAAAACTTACTTGAAACCGCATCCAATATAGTGTGGCTCATTTGGATCGTGTCCACTCAATAAATATCTAAAAGAAAAACTGGATTCACTTTTTAAGCTAATAAATTTACCTCAAATTCTCCATCACAACAAAAGTGTCATCGTCTGCTTTGAAAAACCAGTTGTATTTTGTGCCATACGTCTAAAATTGAAAAATCATTCCTGATTACGTATTTTGACTGATCTTGTGTGCTAAATTTTTGCCATCACAACCCAAAAAAATCCAACGATTTACAGTAATAACTTTTGTAGCCATAATTTTTTCCGATCTTTATTCTTTCTGAACCGATCTACGTAGTTTTTTAGTTGCCACCTTGTAAATTTGTAGCTGTCTGGCTAAAATTAGAAACTTGCGCGTTCTTATGCTAGTTCTTTGACCAATTCAGACCATTAAGCTACAAAATCTTCGTCCTGGAACTAATAATGAAACGATTTACTAGCCCAGTGACCATATTTTTTATCAAAATTACAAGAATTTTCTCTTTTTCACTTTGCTCTGCTTTTAAACAACTCATAAAATTTCTACCTTGTGCAAATAGACAAGCACCCGTTTCGTTTTATCCCACAAATAGTTGCGCCCCTCGGTGAAATTTAGCTCCACGGTTTCGACACTTAGATTCTAAAAAATTGAAATTTCGTTGATCCAAGCAAAATCTGAAAGTAATACTCAGACTTACATTGTAAGTATTGAAGTAGATGACTTTGTTGCAGCGTTTTGTCCATGTTTCATTCACCGCCGTCACCTAAACAAGTAAATGGTGTGTTCAAATACGAAACCTCTATACCTTTTTGATATTTTTCGTGGTGGGATGCGTCATGATCCAACAGAGAACTTGAACTCGATCAAACAAGACATCGGTCACATTGTTTTGCTCTAAAAAGACAATTTAACTTTAACTTCGACCGAAACTCACCATGCGAATGCAAAAGTCCGTGGTCTTCATGTAGATGTGGTTCCTCATTTTTCGATTTTTGACCGGAAAAATCGATTTGATGCTCATCGTCCATATCATCTTCCAAATGTTGCGCATCGGGAAAGTTGGGGCGCTAAACGAAATAAATATATGCAACAATTTAAATGAATTGTTTTTACTAGCGTTACCTGTTCCAAATCAGGCTTATTGTTTGCTCCTTTCTCCTCTTTCTCATGCTTTAGCTGATCAAAGACTCGAACATAATTGGCAATACGGTGTTCTAAAAAATAAATATAAGTTAGCTCGAAATTAGCCTAAAATAAAGAAATCAGTCTAAAACATGATTCTTATGGATGATAATACCCCCGCAGGCATCAATTAGGGTTTTGCTCCCGCAATGCACCAATCTTTATCTTTTATCCCCCGTACTTACAAAGAAATTTTGTATATTCTGCTTTCTTTTTTTTACTGACTCTCATTTCTATCGCTAAGAAATTTGATTACTCTTCCGTTATAGGTATTTCCGCCATATCCTCTATATCCCGCCACCAAAATGGGGGTTACGGGGGTTTCCTACCGTTTTCCAACATTAGAAGTTACAAGTGAATAACTTGAAAAGCAGCACGACGATAAAATATTATGATTTAAATTGAAAACGCGAAAAATCCCGTACACTCCATTTTAGTGGCGGAGATATAACCGAAAAAGTACTAAAATTTGCATACAAAGAGAGTAAAACTCAGCTTTGCGAGGGAAAACCCATATTGATTCACAGTATAACCCATAATTAAACTAAATCAATTTTGGTAGGCCAATTTTTTTAGACGGAATTCAACGAAAACTTTAATAGCATTCAGCTAAATTGCAAAAACACTTTAGAATACTCTAGGAATGCTTGAAAAGTATAACGACGTTTGACAAAAGCACAACTAACCTGTGTAAAGCAAAGTGAGTAGAATCCCGATGAGCACTCCGGCCCAGAAGCGGAAATCGCATCGCGGCTAAAAGGCAAATAAAATGACATAACAAAATTAAAAACCCTAGTAGAACGACCCCCTATAGGAGCGTCACGTAGTCTAAGTTTACACTCAAAGAATCGCTCATATCTCGACACCAATACGTTTGTTTCTGCATGCTTAGGTATCAAATTAAAGTAGAGAGAATGGGTGTTTTTTTGAGATATAAAACATATTTTTAACACAAACCAGCGCTTAGAAAAAAAATGATTGAAAAATGGCAAAAAAAGTTAGAAAAAAAAGCAGACTACGCGACGTTCCTATACGAGGTCATTCTATTAGTTTTTATAGGTATAAAAACATAGAGAAAATTAGTGTCAAAGTTGAACTATTTACCTGGAAAAGTTGATCAACTTAGATGGTCTATAGCTCGAGGTATAGGAGCTGAATTAACTTATGGTTGGTTTTAATAGAATCTTCATTAAATTTGGCTATAGAAAAGTCGAATTTGTTTTGTATACTCTTTAATAAAAACATAGAAAAAAACCGTCTTGAAGATTAGTGCGATAAAGTGCCGTTTTTCTATAGTCAAAATGGCACTTTAGCGCACTTTTCTATTTTACTGGGACCACTCCCAGTAAAATAGGGACAAATGCGACCTTTTTTTTGCGCACCCGGACATTAGCGCACCTTTTTTCGCGTTTTAAAAAAGCTCTAAAGCGCTAATATTAACCAATTTCTATTTCAAAATGTTGTTTTTCTAGGTAATTTTAGAGCGTAGAGTCGAAATTTTGGCATATGCTTGTGGAAGCGAACGGACGGAGTTATACAAAGAGAAAAATCAACAATTTTCTGTAATTTGACCTAGCCGTTTTGTCTTTTTTGTCTTCAAATTGGTTCCACAAGCTCTGATATGCCAAAATTTCGATTCTACGCCCTAAAATTACCTAGAAAAACAACTTTTGGAATAGAAATTGGTTAATATTAGCTTTTAGAGCTTTTTTAAAACGCGAAAAAAGGTACGCTAATGGGCAAGGTGCGGAAAAAAAGGGGCGCAAATGTCCGGGTGCGCAAAAAAAGGTCGCATTTGTCCCACTCCCATTTTACTCTATAATTCGACTTCCAATACCCATTAGTAATTTATGCTAATTCCGAGCTAATTCACGTTTTTAGAACATTTTCAAAAACCCAACCATGCAACCACCACCACCCAAACGTCTTGGCCACTCACTCTCAGCAAAAACTCTCTAAAAGGAAAGATATTTTGCTAGAAAACACATAGGTAACACTAAGCAGAGCTAAGATAATAAAAAGTTTTACATATTTAAAACCAAACCATTTAAGGAGTCACTTTGTAAGAGAAAGAGCAAAGGTAAGAGCAAAGAAAAATAAGATTTTTTTTTGTTTTTGCCTAAAGAAGATATGTAATTTGATTTTTACTTTAAATTAGCATTCAAACTTTAAAAGCAAATCAAGACTCAATAAGCTATTTAAGTCAAAAACCAAAAAAACTCGAATGTAACGATTTTTTTCTTTGAGAAACGCTCAACAGTTGTCTTTGAAAGGGAAACTTTTAAAAAATCGGTTTGTGAATCAATTTTTCTTTCAATGCTTATCATCAGAATTGCCACTTGGCAAGAGAAATGAAAACTGAAGCAATAAAAAAAGGGAAAAAGGGAAAGAAAAGAAGTGACACACATTTCTCACGCCTTTGCCCCATCCAATACAAGAAAATAGGCGACGTCCGAATTTGTTTCACTTTTAATGAATTTTTGTTTGATGATACAACTTAAAGTTTGATGATTTAGGGACTGCACAGGGTTATTTCAAAGCCGAGTTTTTCGAACAATTTCCACTCTCTAGACTTATTCGCTTATCCGAAGCCAGACAGAATTACTCATAACTACAGGGTAATGCTCAAAATTTGCATATTTGAACAAAAGTTTTTGAAATACTCACAATCAATCTAGACCAGTTAGAACAATAGAAAAAACTAGCGAAAATAGAAAACATTTTCAGCTCAAAAGTTATTTTGGAATAAGAATAGTAATGAGGATCCGTATCTCAAAAGCATAACTTCAGTAGAGCCAAAATTTTATTTTCTTTCCTTTTCTCTTTCGATCGGTGCCATTTTGGTTACTAGGGATCCATTAGATTGCTGCCTTTTTTTTTTTGCTCCTTTTTCTTTGAATTCGAATGGGTAAGACAGTCTAAGTTTTACTTTATAAAATCAAAAGAAAAAACAAGAAAAAAGTATTTTTGAACTTTGTTTCGGAAACAGAATTGATCTTGATATTTCCTCTTTTCTTATTGTTATTAAATCGACTTCATAAGGATTCATAAGACCCGCATCATAAGCTGATGCTTATAAATTCAGAAGAATTCATAAGCAGAAGAACCAAGTGCACCAGCTAGCTTGCGTTTCTACATTTACCCCAAGTCATTGCTTGAAGAACGCGGAAATTTGAGTGCACCAGAAAGGGTTTATTTTGAGTACAAATCAGCAGCAAAGTAGCAAAAAAAAATGGGTTTTTTTCCGAGAAAACACATAAAAAATGATGGGAAATATTCAGTCAAATAATCGAAATCGATATAATTTTATCGACTCACTGAATATATTGGAGAGTTTTGTGCGTATCAAAGAGACACCTCCTCTTTCCCCTTTTCGATGCCCATTATGAAAGGATCAAATTCATTCGGCACACTCCTCTGTGCCCCCGTCCGAATACAATAAAAGACTTCAGCGGCAGCTCGAAAATTTTGCTCACATTGAAATGTTTGAAAAATGAGAGTGGACGATTTTTAGGCTAAAACGGGTTTTCCTAGGTGATGTTTCTGACTTATGATTTCTTGTTTAGCACATACCTGTCAAAGGAATGACACCAACTCGAAGTTGAGAATCGCCTATGCCTATGATACCATTTACATACTGGGATGCTCCAACTGGATCATATGCTTAAATCTAGCTGAGGGACCTCTTGTGCACCAGTTACCTGAAAGGTTCAAGTGCTTCTGTAGGCCAAATTAAGTTAATTCAGGCCATGTAAAGCCAGAAGCTAAGCCTATGCCTAGCTTTTGACTTTTTGTTGGCCACTCCAGCAAAGCCTGGCCAAGATAAGAGACCAGGCGAAGACTAATGAATGGATCATATCCCTATCATAGTAAACTTTGCAAACAACAGCCAAGAGTGATCTATATCTTTTTTTCTGGTTTTAAGCCCCCTTTAAACACATTTAGTTCCATTAGAATAGCTTTTATTGAAACGATTGGCCTGTTAGCAGAGTCACGGTGTGCTAGTCCAATCTGGGTTGGCCCTTTTCAGGTCCAAACAAGACTAACATGCCACATAATGTATAAAAATGAGTTAAATTCTTGTTTAGCACATACCTGTCAAAGGAATGACACCAACTCGAAGTTGAGAATCGCTTCGTGACCAAGTGCCCTTTGACAGATAGCGTAGCACATACCTGTCAAAGGATTAAGTTCAGGAATTAAGGAGGTTTCTCCTAGACAATCCGATTGAATTCACTTGTTAAATACTGTTCAACCCAAGAATGACGGTGATAGTTGTTTGATTGATTGAAGCAAGCTTTAGCTAATGATTGTTATTTTATAAGCTGTTATAAGCTGCATAAGTTCTAGATTGTATTTTAAAACTTTTTAACTTTAAAACTCCTTTCCACAGCTCTTTTTAGAAACATTGTAAGTTTTTGAATGTAATTGTAATCTCTGTATTTTCATCAAATTGATCAAAAGTGAATCACGATTTGTTTGCGTTGACCTCGTGATGAATGTTCTAAGAATCAACTGATCTTTGAAAGAATCTTTATTTCCCACTCGAAGATCAACAATTTTTGCAAAATCTCAAATTTCTTACAACACACTGATGGGAATTTCACGGAGAAGGCACGTTGGGAAAATATTTTGGCTGAGGATGGGCGGTTGTTTGTAGAGATCGATGCATTGATATCACACATCTAGCAATTTGTTTGTAATTTTTGGGGAAATCTCGAAGATGCTGAGAAAAACAGGGAAAATTGATCACATTTCCGTCATTGCTATTGCATTTTGCAAAGCTCATCCTTTATTTGTCAAGTCTTGCTGTCAATCTTGCTATTGTTTTTACAGATTGCATAGTTTCTCAATCCGAATCGTTAAAGTTAAATTTTTGTCTCTTTGGCTTCAGCTCTTCAGCTTTGGATTCTAAACTTTCCATTACTAAATGAATAACTCAATAGAGTATTAGCATGTGAATGTGCTCATTTTGTGTAATAGACAGCAGAAAATATTATAATGGGCGCATTTTGATCAGGGGAAACTTGTAAATCTTGAATGATTGTGGGAATCATGAAAAGAAAACACGTGAATTGAGAGTTCAAATCTCAAAGAACGATTAATGAATGGATCATATCGTAGTAAAATTTGCAAGCAACTAGTGAGTCGATTCAACAATTAGAAGTAGAGATATGGAGGAAAAGAGCAGAGTCGTCAAACTCAGATTTTCTGAGGGGGTCAGAGAATTCTCTGAGGGGGTCAGACAGTTATCTCAAGTTGGACACTAATTGCTTGCAAATTTTCTCACTTTTCCTCCATACAACAAGCACTATATTTCACAATCAAAAACATTCAATACTTGTTAACAAATACTTGTCTTTCTTTTGGGTTCTTTTAGAGCACCAAATAAAGCAGAGCTTTTACGTACCGATTCAGTAATGGATCAAGAATTAAACCACGCATATACTCATTCAAAACCATTCACGTTCACATATTCTTTATTTAGTTTTATGATGTGAAATTGGGTGAAGGGAAATGACGTGATTGGGAAGGGGGCAGCTTTGTAAAATCGTACGTAAATACTTAAAAAGTGAATGAAATGGGGGGAAAGGAGTCATAAGGGAGGGGAGGGGAAGCGAAGGGCCAATTGGCAACCAATTGGCACACTTTTCAAGCTGTTCTACTCTAAATTTAGTTGTTCACAAGTTACAATTGTTCTGGGTTGCTTTTTAGAATCTCAAAGTGCCAAGGTTCAAAACTTTGAGTTGTTCTACTCTCAATTTAGATGTTCAAATGTTAGAGTTGGTCTAAAAATCTTCTTGCAAAGCTTCATGATAGTTTCATAATAGTTTGGGTTTCAGCTGTAGTGACCAACTCTAGCTATGGTTTCAAATCTGTACTTTTGTCAGTGAAAGTTTTGCTCGGATTCTTTATTTTCTAAAAGTATCAGCCTGTGAAAGCTACCGTAGCCTTGTCTCTAGTTTATTAAATCAAATTTTACAGTAATTCCCCATTTTCTGATCTTTTCATTCTCGACATTTCATCATTTTTCTCGAATTCCCCGTTTTCTTTGAAATTACAGAAATTACATCTTTTTTTGCAGCTCACAAGGGAATGACACCGGCTCGGAGTTGAGAAAAGCTTCGTGCATCTCATAGAGTCGGCTATGCTGATTCTGAATCTGTAAAAATTAGCTGCAAACACCCACGCAAAGAATTTGGCATGGAAAATTTTCTTAAATTTCGAACTTTCGGATTTTAAGAGAATTTTCTATGCCACCTGTGTTTGCGGCTAATTTTAACAGCTTCGTGCTTCGTGCTCTAAAAGTATCAGCTTGTGAAAGCTACCGTAGCCTTATCTCTAGTTTATCAAATCCAATCTTACAGTAATTCTCTATTTTCTGATCTTTTCATTCTCAATTCTCGACATTTCATCATTTTTCTCGAATTCCCCATTTTCTTTGAAATTACATCGTGGAAAAATCGTGACACTCCATTTTTCCCATAGGACGATGGGAATTTCGAGGAAAATAAAGCTGAAAAAAAAAGGGTGAAGCTAAAAATAGAAACACAAAAGTCCAGATTATGACGGAGATAATCAAAAAGTGTGTAGCGATTATCATATTGTATAGATTTTTTTCGCATTTTCATTTTTTTTCTTCAAAATTTCATTGTTTACCTCGAAGAAATTTCTTGAATTCAAATTTCTTCTCAAAAACCCCTTTCTGATCACCAAAAATCACCGCTTTCCCCTCAAAATCTCACCAAATATTTGAAAGTGACCAAAAGGTGATACATTTTGTGCGGGAATTAAAATCTTTTGTGAAAATTATTTACTACAAGGCATATTGAGGTCAGCAAAAGAGAAGAAACGAAGATTTTTGTTGTATAAATAAATGTAAATGTAAAGAATACTTTGGCTAGATTACAAAATGGCTAGATTTGTTTTCCCATTCTCATTTGATTTGTGGGATTGTTGGGAAACTTTGAGCTCTAAAGAAATTCTCGAAGTTGAGAATAGCTTCGTGACCAAGTGCCCTTTGACAGGTAGCGTAGCACATACCTGTCAAAGGAATGACACCAACTCGAAGTTGAGAATCGCTTCGTGACCAAGTGCCCTTTGACAGGTAGCGTAGCACATACCTGTCAAAGGATTAAGTTCAGGAATCAAGGAGCTTTCTCCTAGACAATCCGATTGAATTCACTTGTTAAATACTGTTCAACCCAAGAATGACGGTGATAGTTGTTTGATTGATTGAAGCAAGCTTTAGCTAACGATCGTTATTTTATCAACAAAATAGAAGAAACGAAGATTTTTGTTGTATAAATAAATGTAAATCTAAAGAATACTTTGGCTAGATTACAAAATGGCTAGATTTGTTTTCCCATTCTCATTTGATTTGAATCAAAAACATTCAATACTTGTTAACAAATGCTTGTCTTTCTTTTGGGTTCTTTTAGAGCACCAAATAAAGCAGAGCTTTTACGTACCGATTCAGTAATGAATCAAGAATTAAACCACGCATATACTCATTCAAAAACCTTGACGTTCACGTATTCTTTATTTAGTTTTATGATGTGAAATTGGGTGAAGGGAAATGACGTGATTGGGAAGGGGGCAGCTTTGTAAAATCGTACGCAAACACTTAAAAAGTGAATGAAATGGGGGGAAAGGAGTCATAAGGGTCAAAATTATTTACTACAAGGCATATTGAGGTCAACAAAAGAGAAGAAACGAAGATTTTTGTTTTATAAATAAATGTAAATGTAAAGAATACTTTGGCTAGATTACAAAATTTGTTTTCCCATGTTTTCCCATTCTCATTTGATTTGTGGGATTGTCACGGAAACTTTGAGCTCGAAAGAAATTCATTTTCAAAACAAACGGGGTTCTTTGAAAATGGACGTTTTCGCTTGTTTGTCATTGTGTCAACTTTTGGTGGGAATTTCAGGAGAGGCTAAGTTCAACGATCCGTTAAGAGCAAAGTTTTTGTTGACAACACATAGAGAGTGGTTGGGAAATCGCTTTTGGAACTTTCGACTGAAGAAATTATTCTTTTTTTTTGCAGCGCACAAGGGAATGACATCGGCTCGGAGTTGAGAAAAGCTTCGTGCATCTCATAGAGTCGGCTATGCTGATTCTGAATCTGTAAAAATTAGCTGCAAACACCCACGCAAAGAATTTGGCTTAGAAAATTTTCTTAAATTTCGAACTTTTGGATTTTAAGAGAATTTCTATGTCAACTGTGTTTGCAGCTAATTTTTACAGATTCAGAATCAGCATAGCCGATTCTATAAGATGCACTTGGTCACGAAGCTATTCTCAACTTCGAGTTGGTGTCATTCCTTTGACAGGTATGTGCTAAACAAGAATTTAACTCATTTTTATACATTATGTGGCAT